TCTACCCTTTCCTGTCACCCAGTATGCAGAGCCTGCCAAGAGAGGAGGGGATGGGGTGAACAGCAGCCCTGGGGAGGGGAAAAGGGGTGGCAGAGCAGGGGCTTCAACCCTGGAGTTCTGAAGAAAGAATGGGGGAAGGAGACAGAAACTGAGGGGAAACAGGGATTGCTGTCCCAGCACTTCTAACTGGGACAAGAACGGGAATAAGGATTTAAGCAAGTTATCATGGCTACTTGCATATTACCAGTGTCCAGCTCAGCTGCAGCATCATAAGCATGATGGCAAGGTGTGGTTTGTCCAAACCCCTGTCTCAGCAATGAAATTGCTGCCAGCCCTCTGGCCCAGTGCTGTCAGGGTGGGACACAGCTTCTGGGATGGGCTGCTTGGAGCAGGCACACATACTGTAGCTCTTGCACCACTCCTCATGTTTCCCCTCTGTATCCTTGCCAATGGCCACCATCTACCCCACACATGGAGAACACTGACTTTCAGATACATCTTGGGAGCAGACCCACGGACACAAGTTGTGATCTGTGAAGAGAGACCTGAGCTGGTGCTGGAAACAAGTTGGTGGTTTGTGAAGCTACAAAGGATCAAGAAAAGACCCCAGGCAAGCAGCACTGGTCCCTGCCACCATGTCAGCTCCAATCAGCAGGGCAGCAGAGCCCATGAAGGAGGACTAAAGCACTGGAGAGAAAGCCCAGCCTTCCAGAGCTGAGGGAGATACTGCAATTGTATGGTCTCTGTGACCAGCCAACAGCTGCTGCAGAAGCTGTGCTTCCATTCGAACACTTCACCTCAGGAAAGGGCTCTGAGGCCCCCACACTGGCCACAGAGTAAACCCCCGGGAAATATTGCATTTCCTAGTGTGCACCCAGCTTGGTTCTGCTGAGCTCCCAAAGTGAGGTCTGAGGCAGTAAAAGGAGCAGAGGAGGCAGAAACTGCAAGCAGAAGACAGCACCATCTCCATCCAAAGAAGAAAACAGCCCCAGGACCATATCTTGGTAATAGAGCAAGCACTGCCAGGTGGCACAAAGCTTCATGTTGTAAGTACATGACTGGGTGGAGAAGATGCAGTTTGCTCCAGCCTGTCTTCCCCAGAGATTTTCCTCCAGAAAAGCTGCTGGGAAAACACTGTTCCATGTTTCCAAAGCAACAGCACCTTAGGGGCACAGTCACAGTGTGAACAAATAGTAACAACAGTACCAAATTATTGGGGATAATTTCTGCATACAGCATCTTAGTAACCTGTGGGATCCTGTGCCCCAAGATGATGCTGAGGGCATGAATCTAGTAGGAACCAACAGTGGATTAAAGCTTTAAACAGACAATGAAAATACACAGAGAGCTGCACTAGACAAAATGAACATTTACAAGGAATATGAACTCCCATGTTCAAGGCATCAGCCACCAGAAAATGAGGGTTAAAGAGAAGTGTCCATTCTGTGCAAGCTGCTCGAGGCACTTCTATGTCCCCTTCCCCAGGTGAGATTGGTGGCTGTTCCTGTGGTCCTGTGGCTTCCCACAACATACTGCATGACAGAGTCAATGTTGATGCCTGCTCCCAGCATGTCCAGGAATAGCAATAGTCACCAATCTTATGTTGGATCTGCCCACCTTCCTCCCATCATTAATAGTCTCCCAGAGGAAAAAGTGAGTCAGGCATGGGGCATGGACCACAGGCAAACAGGATGCCAAGCCAGGGGCTGGAAGAAGGTTCCACTGGACTGCTGCAGAGTGAGACCATGGTCACAGGATGGAAGAGTAATGTGCAAAGTGTTTTTTCCCAGTCTCTGGGTAGACACTAGGATCTTCCCTATGACAGAAAAGATCTCTATAGGGCTCCCTCCAGCCTCAAAGTGGGATTCATGGCTCAGTCATTTAAGGGTAACTAGAGCAGAAGTGTCTCTTCTGTGTGGACTGCTGGCACCACTCCTTTACAGAGAGGGGCCTGATCTCCATCTGTAAACAGCTTCCTGACTCCATCCCTACTCACAGTATCAGGCAGAAGCATATGAATTTCTGCAGCACATTTCCAGCAGTGCCTCAGTTGAAACACTGAGTCATGGAATGACCAGTCATTTCAGGATGGAAAGGCCTTCAGGCAGTCTCAATACCATTCTCAGTGCAGGATCAGCAATAAGGCCAGGGCAGAATGCTCAGGGCTTCACCCACCATGGCCTTGAAAATCCTCAAGCATGGAGACTACACAACCCCTCAGCAACCTGTTCCACCACTGGGCTCATCTCCTGGGGGAAAATGTGGAGACTTTTGTCATACCCAGTTGCATCTTGCTTGTTTTGAGTTCTACCAGTTATTTATTTGTGTTAAGGGGGCTCAAACCAGAACTATTCCCATTGTGGGTCCGTAAGTTCCAAATGAGGGGGGATAATTTCTTCTCTCCAGCTCCTGCCCAGGACAATGCTGACCGTTCTCACAAGCAGTGCAGATAACAGACTGATGCTCAGCTCTCAGTCTGCCTCATCCCTGTAGCCCCTCCAGGAACTAAACAGTCTTCAGCCTGTTTCCTAGCAAAGTGCTCCTTTTCCTGGTGCAGTATCATTCGGTTTGTCCTTGCTGGGTTTCCTGCCCCTCCCAGCCTGCCTACGTGCCTCCACATCACTGCTCTGCCCTAGAGCCTGCTGATAGCATCATGCAGGTTGGCACCCTCTGAACACTTGATAAGATGGGCTCTCTTCTAGTTGTGGATGAAGCTGTGAACCAAGAGAGACCTCCAGCCGTACCCTGCAGTTCTGTGCGTGGTACCAGCACCCACCTGGAGTGTGCCATTAGGCACCACCTCTGAGCTTTACCACCCAGCCTGTTGTTTTCCACCTATGTACACATCTGTCCCCACCGTGGCATGTCACTTGCACCCTGTGACATCAGAGCACTGCTGGTGCTGGCACCTCAGCACAGCTCAGACAGCTCCCCTCCAGTCAATCCTACAGGGTGACAGCCACCAAAAGGCAGGAGAAGCTTGCAGGGCCAGTGGCCTGCAGAGGAAACACATTCATGGGAACCTTGAACAATGCCAGCTGTCAGTCCCTAAAGCTCCAGACTGAAATCAAACCACATGTTTGCTTGTTTGGTTCCTTCAGAGAAAAGCATTTGAATAGTTTATTCTCTGCCATAGCAGACAAGCCACATAAAAATGGAAATTCACTGCTGATATGCAAGTCCCTTGTTTTGCAGGAAAGGAAGGAGGAAATGTGAAATTTTGAGCATGTGTTTGAACAAGTCATGGAGATGCAGCAGAAACAGGCTCCTATGTACCTCCTTGCCTGTGGGAGAGATAAGGAAGGACCTGGGTCTGGCAGGAGGCAAAAGTGCTCCTGCTAGGATGAGCTGTGATGGGGGCTGGAGAAAAGATAAGGACAGAACGTGAAGCTGAATCCACACATCTTGCAATTTCAAGAGAGTGTGAAGGTCTCCCGTGCCCCGTAGGCAAGCTGCAGACCCCAGCAGGTGTGGTACACCCAGCGTGGCAAGGGCTGGGTTTACTCACATCAGCAGGGGCAATGGCAGTAGCAACAAGCGTGCAACAAAACACTGCTTATGTGTTATCATGTATACATTTTTCCCATGTCTCTAACCACTTAACTCACACAATTGCTTAATTACAAGCAGAAATTCATGGCTAATGATTAAAAATCTTATCAAGGAAGCGCATTTCTAGCAAAGGCTCCAAAAACTAGAACAAGGCAGAGGCAGGTCATGAGATGAATTCCTGAGAGCCAGCAGAACAAACACATGCCTGTGCTTGGGCATGAGAATTTGGCCATTTTGGAACAAGCAGAGATGTGCCAATAGTAGCAGACTGTGTCTGTCACCTGCCTTACTGTCAGCCCCTCAGGGACTGTGGTGCTTACCCTAGCAAGGCTCTAAAACTGGTCCTGCAAAGGACAGGAGTCAAAGAAGGATTGAGAAGGCATTTTGGTTGCTAGTTAGCAAATTCTCACTTAAATGAGACGGAGAACCTACAGGAATTGCAGCTGACCTTCACACTAGCTGGAGCAGAAGGTTGTTATTAAAGGAACCAGTGAGAGGAACAGTGCAGTTATTCAATATAATAGGTCACACAAGCCTATATGTAGTTAAAAATAAAATCTATTACCTGGGAAAATCGGCTCAGATGACTCTACATCACTGAACCTATACTGCACCTCCTCTGGCTGAGCACCATTAAGCCCTACATCCTGCAGCTCTGCCAACCCACCCTAGCAGGTGCTCCCAAAGAATTGGTAACTGCCCAGAAAAGACAGGAGTGCTGTTGCCCCACCACTCCTTGCTGCCAGCACCCAGAAGTCACCGTCCTACTCTGAACTGAGTGTGGATCTGCAGCCAACAGTGCTAAAGGATGGCATCAGTGATGTGACATACCTCAAGAACCTGCTCTGCCCACCCCAGGCACCTGCACAACTTCTGCTTCTGTTGCCACACAGGCAAGCAGTAGCCAGCAGCTGGCTCATGTAGCAGTAGCATAACAGCTGCTGGCATTTCTGACTGCATGGTTCCAAAATGGGAAGGAAGTTACAGAAGTAGAGTGTCCTGGGAACAGCCTGGTGTCCCCATCAGTCAGGTTTGCATGGAGGAAGTCTGAGGTCAGGACATGTCCAGCCCCCAGGGCCAATGGTCTCACTACTGGGGCAGCACAGAGGGACAGTGCTGGGAGAAACCTGGCGAGTTAGAGCAAAGCCCGAGTCAGGTGAGCAGAGCCTGGCACAGCCCAATATGGAGCAATCTCCAGGCTCCACAGAAGGGAGGCTGGAGCTCCTTCAGCTTTTCAGTGCCAACACTTTGCTTTGGCACTCTGCAGGTTATGCAGCCTCCTGTGCTGGGGAGCCTGGTCCTACTTCACTCAGGATCACTCCGCACCTACCCTTCGGCACCGTAGCTTCTACCTCAGCACACAACATTTACAGCACACAACATTTCTCTCCTGAAATACTATTTGTTTTTCTTTTACATTTTCTTCCTCCCCTACTCTGAAGACTCACCAGGCACCATTCCTGTCAGTGCTGGAGCGGAGTAGCTGCCCTGTCCAGCAGGAGGGACGTGTGGAGGGTATCCTGGGAGGGTTGTACTTGCCAGCTCGCGACCTGAGGAATCAAACCAACAAATCACCACGTGAGCATTGCGACAAGCAGACACGGTTTTACATCTCCCCAAGCACCCAGAACACAGCCATGCATTTGTCATCACTGCTCTGCGAGGACCAGCATGGGATTTCCAGCCTGGCAGGGAGGGCAGGCACAGTTTTGTTTTCTCTATAAGCTGCCACAAAGCTCCAATGAAGTGCAAGACTGGAAGGTGAAGAGCAGAGCTCTGCAGGGAGAGGAACACACCCGCCTGAACTCCAGCTGCTCACCCCTACTCCCAAATTCCTCTAAAGCTTAGATTTGTAAAGTCAAAAGCAATGAAATGGGAAATAACACAGATCTTAATGACATTTTGCCAGAAAACTCTCTAGAAAATCACATGCAAAAACTGAGACTGAGATCTAAATACAATGCTGGGCATTTCTTTTATCTCTTGTTAAAGAAAAAAAAAAGGAACAAACACAAGGCATTGAGACATGAAGGTGGTTTAAAATATAGTTTGTCACAGTGCCAGAGGAAGAGTTTAGATTTACAGACACAGCCTGATGCACTGCTCTTTCCTTAGCCACAGAAACATGGGTTTTAGTCAAGTACCCACAGTACTTCCATGGAAATAACCCCACAAAAGCAGGAAGTGGGATGTCTTCCATCTCTCTCTGCCCCTGGACCAGGGGTCTGGGCTACCCCCTCTTCCTTCACCCTCTCCCAGACACATCTCCTATCACCTTCGAGGACATGTGTCTGCTGGCAGTGCAAAGACAGGAGGTCAGATATCATGGCTCACAAAGAGCCACAGAAGTGTTTCCTCAGTCATGCCTGGACTCTGCTCCCGTGTGGAGCTTCTGGAACTGTCACCATCCCTATCCCACAATCTTGGGTAAACCCCTGTCAGCTGTGGCTACAAGAGACCCTCCACAAGAGACCAGAAGAAAGGGATGCTCCTGTGATCTCATCAGGCAGGATCCATCCCTCACCCCAGAGGAAATCCTGGAGCCCACTCATGGTCTTCTGGGCTCCCGTGGCATCCTTGGGCAGAACACTTAGCCAGGACAAGTTGCTTTCAAGACACGCAGAGGTGCCTGGTAGCACTGACCCTGCAGCACCATGGCTTGGTCAGCAGCTGGGCCAAGGCTCTGCAATCCAGTCCCAGAGTGAGCATCACCCACACTACTCAGGCACCACTTTAGTCCATGGACCTGCCCCTTAGACCAGCCCCCGCTGGCTCTGCCACCACCTCTGCCAGCCTGCCAAGTGGCTCCTTCAAGGCCAGGGGAAAATAAAGTGTGCCTCAGATCCAAAGCACAGCTCAGAGGCAGCGGCTATGTATGAGAGGTTATCATCTCTGAAAAGCTGAGTGTACACCTCAGTTAAGAGAAAGGGACTCTGGGCTGCATGAAACACCTGGCCCTTCCACTCTTCCAGCCTCTACAGGACAGGGACCATCTGGCACCAGCTCCAAGATCCTGTTGGCCCAAAACAGCTCATTAGCAAAAATCTAGTTTCTTCCTTAAAAGGTAGCATTTGGATCAGCGCAAAAGTTATGTGACTTTGTTGATTTTAGCACTACTGACAAGAAAAAAAAGCACAGGTTCTCTTTTTTCACATTGTGTTCTGTAGGCAATTGTTTTTAAGGCAGTGAACTTTTTTCTCCAGAGTCTCCAGAGCTTGGAGAGATTGAAACTGAACATTTTTACAAGAGCCAAAACAATTCCTTTTAAAGTGTTTTGGGGTTTTGTTTTTTTTTTTTGGGTAAAGATTTTGAGCACTAATTTTATTTTGATCTAAAAATAAAACTTTAAAATCTTCCTTTTTTGATATCTTTAAAGAAATGAGACTTCATCTGATGAGACAAGAGACAGGTACACAAGTAACTGCAAATTGTGGGTCACAATCTCTGGGTCACGGCCACAAAGACTGCCTCCCCCTACCCTGATGAAGGGGCACATGCCAAAACTCTAGCATCGCTGCAGTGATCTCTTAGCACATGCCCCACTTTCTTCCGCACTCAGTATCTGCAAATCAGGATGCAAGCTGTTCCTCTCAGGCCCTTCCTACAGAATATTTATGGTGCATTCACATCCTAAAAGAATTTAAGGTTCAAAACAATTGATTAATTTGTTCTCCAGTGCTAGGGAGAAGTCACGTCCCTTACGGAAGGGCATAATGAATTCTAATTATTCAATGCAGGCAGAAAATGGTTATTTTAGATTAAAATGTTCTCCCCTCATCACTGCCCTGCTTCCTTCTCTCCCACACAAAATTAAACGCTTTATGTCACCTCTACAGTCTGGAGAATACAAAAGTATCTGCAGTCTACATGAAGTCAGTCTCAGAAGCTAAGTTCACTGCCAGAGCTAGCAGGGACTCAGCTAACAGCTGTCCCTAATGCAGATGAACATTTCACAGGCTGACTGCTGCCATCTAGGAGCCCTCCGGAGACCCAGGAGGGAAAACAGGGCTCCCCCCTTTCTTGGTTGTATGGTGTCACTACAGAATGGCACAACAATTCTGCTCCCAAAGGTGCCTTGACCTGTGGGCAAGCTCCCTCTCCCAAAGTGCCCCACACCAACTACACCTCACTCCTCACTTTCCATAGCTATCATCAAAACCTTGACATTTACTTCGATATTTTGAAATATTACAAATAATTCACTTTCTCCGAACCACTGCCACACCCAGAATCACCAGGATCACTGTCAAGGGTAGTGAGCAACATAACCATCACAAACAACAGTGTAACAAGTAGGACCTCTGCTCCTCAGTCAATACAGAAATAGCAATACAGAAAAAGCGTTTAATTTGATATAACCCTAACCCTAACCCTAATCCTGTATGATCTGTTCCACAGGTTTGGGCTGGTTTCCATTACATCCCATTTCCAAATGAAATGTTCTGTCATGTGTCAACAAACCTTCCTTGTAGGGTTCCCACAGCCAGGTCTCAGGTGGGGCCTGAGGGGAGGCTGAAGGAGCTGGCCAAAGGTGACCAAGGGCATAGCTGCAAGTGCTGCAATCCAACCTCATGCTGTCAATTCCATCCAATTTGCTTTCACAAAAAAAGAAAGACTAGAGCATCCCATTCTCTATGAGATTTTCCCCCCATGCTGGCAAGCTTCAACTGCACTAAAACAATTGATTTAAGAGAAAAACACTAATCCACCTAGTACAAAGAGAGATTAAGAAGCAGCCTCTGCTCCAGGCTGCTCTGCCTTTCTCATACAGGCAAAGCACTCAAGAGGAAATGAATATCTGCATTTTAGCAATGGGCCACACAGACATAGGAACCTAGGTCTCTTCAAGACATATTTTTTCCTGAATGTCTTTGTCCTGTGCAGAGTTAAAGAAGGGGGCAGAAGTATCTTTGGGCAGAGCTGCCTCCTTGCCTTGCTGTGCTGATACTGTGCAGGACAGAGCAGCTCAGCTGCCAGCTCCAGCCTATAGAGAAGCTCAACTAGAGCAGAGCCTAGCAGGATTTTCCAAGGTAACCAACAATCTTTTTCCAACAACCTCTGCCAACAATTTCAAGCTCCAAGTACCGAAATACCTTTCTGAGTCTTTCCTACAGTAGCCTCCCCACGGAGAGGCTGGTAGCCCCAGCAGCACTGGTACCTTCAGTGGCATCTGCTGACCTGAAACTGGCACACCTCCATGACAGAAGGAGCACACAGCAGCTCTAGTGCCCATTCAGCCTGGACCCTACCATCTCTTTTACTGCATCACCTCCTCCAGACTGCTTCACCAGGCTCCTTCAGGTCCTGGTGAACATCTCCAAGGCAATGCTGACCCAACACGCATCTGATTTCCAGAGAGAAAATGTCTTAGGGGGAGCATGAGTGTTGTCATTGTGGAGAGTGGAGCAAACACCTCTGCTATGGGCACACCTGCACATGTCAAAGGCTCTGCACACAGAAGATAGTCAACAAATGTCCATCCCTCCATTCACTAAGAGCTGGCGACATCCACAATGAAAGCGAATGATCATTTTGCAAATAAAGCATTAATAAGTAATTTTCTTCCGTAAAAGAAATTTTGCCACCATCTACAAGAGAGCTTAGCAGCAACCCCTGCACAGATGAAGCAAGCAGCGCTTGGGCATCAGCAAATGTCCCCACTGCAGGACAAAAGCACTGGGGCAGAGAGCAGCCTGCAGCAGCAAACGGCTCTCCTCCCTCCAAACCACAGGGAAAAAAAGGGAGCGGTTTAGAAGCATTCCTCAATACACCTACCTTCTTAAAAAAAAATCAAAAGGCGGCAAAGAGCGTTTCCAAGTGTGTCTTTGTACACTACTGTGTGTAAACGTGAATCCAATTAACTTCAAATTTAACTACTAATGAAATTATCTCATTTTGCTATCAGCTCAGCTCTCATCCATGGCAGTAATTAACCACTGGGGGTTGTCACTCCCAGACACATGACACAAGGACTCCCCCAAGCTCAGGTGCTTCAAACCCGTGCAGAATTCATTACCCTGACAGTGTGAAAACCCTTCACTTTCAATACCACAGGGCACCAACGCATTTTTTTCCCTTTATCTAACAGATTGTCAGTAACAGTATGAAAGAAATGAGCCCACTGGACACGTAATTAATTACAGCAAAGGATACATCAGAAAATGTATGGGGTTCAGGTGGTGGAAGGGGGCTCACAGAGCCCCTTTGCCACTGTCTCACAACCACCAGCAGGGCTGGTGATTTTCCTTTCCACGATGCACCATGGTCTGCACTGAGGGAAGCCAGGCCTTTGCCCCTGCCCCATGCTCACAGCAGGTGTGTGATTGCCACCAGCTCAGGAGCATGGTCAAGATTGAGGCAGCACTTTGGGTTAATGGGGTAATGCCACCTCTTCAGAGTCAGAGGTTCAACACCAAGAGGTCAGCAGTACTGAGAAAGTCAGTCCAGCAGTGTCGGTGAATCCTCCCACGCTCTTTGCAGGTATCATTCCAAGACATCAGACCATCTGAAATGGCCACCCAAGGTATCACACACCCCTGTCTGAATTACA